TCCATGGGTAATTGATACTCCATCAGCGTATGGATCATCAATACTCAGTGTCTGTCCTTCTCTGTTCCTATTGACTCCATCAACTGATCCAAACTGATAGCCTCTGACCTGCCCACATACTGTAGTGTAATTTATCCCAAAAGAGGAAAAGAATGTGGAGCCACATCCGCTGCCAAATTCATCAAGATCTTGATCACAAATGACTCTGTTTTCAAAGGTGTATTGAAAGAGTCCATGAGGACAGGTAGCATTAGGCTTTGTCATATCAATATCAGCCACTCTTGTCCAGCCACCAGTACCATCACAGTTACTACCATCCATATCACAGTACACATTGACAATGCTTCCATTGCTTTGGGTAATGTTGTAATAGCCAGTAGCAGTACCAGGGAGTCTCTCCAATATGTCACTGCAAGAATAATAGCTAATGCTTCTTGCCTCTTGGCATGGATCATCGGGTAAGTCCTGAGATGGGCACATTGTGATGATTTTATAAGCCTCATTTTTCTTCAGCTTAATAATGTTCCCATTGTTTGGAGGCAGGCAGCAGTACTGGTGATAGAGTGAAGGGTTAGTGTAGCCATTTGAACAATCAGCAATGCAGAGGTCATCTGTTGTGGCATGGGCTTCTCTTGCTTTTAGGAGGAGACCAATAGTCCAGAATATTATCACTGAGTAGTAGCTATAGCCTTGTCCTGGTGAAGACATTTTGAGTTTAGGGAAAAGACTACACAAACTCACACGATTTATGCTCACTCACCAAGCATAGCTATCTCAGGAAATGACGTTTGCGTGGGTGGTAAATCTACATTAATATCTTAACGGTTTGTAAATTTTCTCTACAACATTAACAACAGCAGAAATAAAACATGCTCATAGTCATATATATATGATAGTTTAGTTTTATCTATTCAATTGAGTGAGCTCCAGTAAAAGGACTAAACAGCAGGAATGAGAACAAATTCTAAATGACAGCCTGGACAGGCAACAGCACAGTAGTACCTAGTCCTTGCCTACACAAAGCTGGGCGAGGCCAGCAATAACATTACTAGCCAGAGGCGTATTTAGGGGGGGGGGCTGAGGGGGCTTGAGCACCCCCCTCAGGGCTGGGCTCAGAAAAAATTACTGAAGTCCTGGACTCTTGCATCACTACCAAGCCTCTTAACAAAGTTATCTAGCCCCCTTATCATCATTTCAGCAGTTTCCAGTGCTTTAAGGAGCAATCAGAAGTATCACTGTAACATAGCAGTATGCTTGAAATGATCTTGGGCCCACCCGTAATTGACGAAAATGCAGGAAAAGGCCGTTTTACCGCCGTAAAAGTGGGTGTGGCCAAAATCGCGGCGCGCTTCGCGCGCCCTCAGCACCTTCCTCCCCCCATTCCTAGATACGACCCCGATAGCTCTAGCTTCATCAATCAATCCTTGACTAGAAAATGCTCACAGCTAAGTATCATCAGCCTAGCTGGTTGACTGGTTCAGTGTTTTAACAAACCATGGCATCTTTAATTGAGAGACGTTTTAAATTGCAGCATTGTTGGCCACTCCACAGTAGATTGTTAGGAAAGAATGTATGAACACTTGAATTACAGTTCCACTGAACTCCTGACACACAATAATAATAATCTCCAAAATAAGATAGAGTAACTTTTGTTCTGTTGAAATTACAGCGACAGTCTTGACTCTTATTATGAATCTCCTCTTGAACAACTAGTTACGTACATGTTTATGTCAAGAGTATTATTTTACATGAGCTTTAATGAGTAATTAATACTCCATCAACACTGGGTCCATTAATGTGTAATGACCCATAATAATTATTCAATCGTTAATTCTTGTTATTCTAAAGAAATTACATAGCTAAGCATATCTATGACAACATGACTACATCACCCACCAAATGAAATTGTCACAAATATGTCAGACTTAATCAATGTATCATGAAATAAACATCAAGAGACAAGATTGATATTAATAATTACAAAATAATAGGACACAAAGATGGAAGAATAAATGACAGCGATAGCATGTGTACTTTACTGTCCCCCAATGCGCATGCACTAAAGCACATGGCATTCACTACAAAATCAAGCTATAGATTCAATATCAAGCTAGGGTCATTTCATCATGTTTCTAAAACATTCCCTTTTGTACAGTGTTTCAGTTTCAATTTAAATAAATACTCTATGAAAACTATTGAACAAATAACTAACAAATTAACAATATGCAAACATCCATCAGTTCTGCTAAAGCTAGATCTATAGTTTCGCCGGGCCAGCCCCTTCCTTTAGCGGAAGGGGCTGAAGGAAGGGGCTGGCCCAGCGAGACTATACTAAAGCTATGGCAAAGAAGTGGCAATCTTTCCTTTGTATTACTCCTTCAGCAGTCTTGATCCTCTTATGGAACTTCCTCATTTATACAAATTATTTCTTAATAAGTCGGTTCATTGGTAGCTATTTAACTAAGAATTTTCCTACATCCTGGTATAAGTATGGTTTTGTTATTTTCCAATGCTCATGTTGGCTTTCTTTTCCTTTATTTGGTCTGTTAGCTGATGTATGGATTGGAAGATACAAAGCTATACTGATTGGTATAGTATTGTGTTTTATATCATGGATTATAATAGGAATTGGACTGATTGTTGAAAATTACTTTTTTTCTGAAATACTAATGTTTTGTGTTTACAATTTAGCTTATATATTTCAGATCAGTGGTTTTACAAGCTTCACTGCTAACATTATTCAGTATAACATTGATCAACTTGTTGGAGCTTCAGCTAATGAACTGACTTCTGTCATATACTGGCATATACTATCTGAACCACTTGTGAGCTTGCTTTTTCACCTTCTTCAATGCTTATTTAATAGTAGTAAGTATTTTATCATGATCACTTTCATAGCATCAGGTGTATCTGTATCTCTTGTACTGGTGTCTCATTCATTCTTCAAACACAAACTGGAGAACATATCACTGATCAAGAATCCCATCAAACTGATAGTTAGAGTATTGTGTTATGCCAGGAAGCACAAGTATCCTGAGAATCGTAGTGCACTGACCTACTGGGAGGAAGAGGCTCCTTCAAGACTAGACCTGGGTAAGGATAAATATGGTGGACCATTCACAGTGGAAGAGGTAGAAGATGTGAAGACAGTGTTTCGTATGCTACCATTATTCATTGGTTTTGTTGCCTTTATTCTTAGTCATGACTTATACTGGTCTGCTGTTCATAATGTGACCCTACCAACTTGCTTAGCTGTGACAAATTCTCAGTTTTATATATGTTCTGTCATTCTAACATTAGTTTATTTATTCTTTATCAGAATTTGTTTCTACAAGCACATTCCCAATATGCTGACTAGAATGAGTGGTGGTCTTTTCCTTGCTTTCATTGCTATTGTTTCTAAAGTGATCATATTTTTCATTGAGAGGTCTCATCCTGACATAAACAACTTTGGTAAACTGCTCTTTATTTCACAAACTATCCAAGGTCTTGCTTTTATTCTTGTGTATCCAGTATCACTGGAGTTTACAGTAGCTCAGTCTCCAGTACACATGAGAGGAGTGATGGTTGGATTGTGGTATGTTGCTTATTGGGGTCTTGGTTATATCACCATTACTATTCTCAAGTTTCCATTTGATTGTGAGAGTCAATACATATGTACCAGTTTCTATTATTATATAACAAAGAGTGTACTAGTTCTTATCATACTGATAGTGTTTGTGATACTGGCTAAACGTTACAAGTATCGTGTGAGAGAGAATGAAGTTAATATTGTTCAGATAGTTGATGATCATTATCAGAGATACATAAATCAAAGGGAACAATTTATGAGTGTCATTGACAGTGACTCCTCAAGCGATTGACACTATTATTTCTACTTTTAAGGACTACAATTGACTTAAAACTGACAAATTTTATTTTGTCGTGTTAAATGATGCAAATCTGATGATTTGTCTAGTGATGAGCCATTAAAGGAACTAACTTTCATGGTAGCAGTGAGCAATTTAATGTACAAATGTATCACTCCATGAACCACTTTGGAACTTATTAACTGACTTCGAAATTATGTTCTGTGTCACTAGCAAAATTTATGTTTGCATAATGAACAAATTTTACTGATTTTATTTATTATCATGTATTTTGTACTGTTAAATGGAGTACCCTATTGTCAGCCTGAATGAGATTAATGACTTGAATGGTCAGTCCAGGATCTGCTGACACATGCACATTACAGCAATAATCATTTTCATGGATTATTAGGCAGCATTAAGCACCTGCTGACCTTCTCACAACTCACACCATCCTCTATGAAGGAACATGTGTCTACTGATCATAAAGGAAATTGGAATTATACAAAAAAACATTGACTGCTTTTATAAGTGCAATGCTTACTTGATATTATCACTATCAATAAATAAACAAGCAACAACTCAAAATTGATACAAGTATTATAAATGTGTGTGTAGCATATGAAGTTACAATAGTAGTCACTGACACTGCTACTTACTACAAAATATATGTAAATAATACTTCATGACATCATATGACATTTTACTTAATGTATAACTCGGTGACATCAATTGGAATGGCTTCTTCAGGATAACTTTCCCCAGTACATATTCTTAGTTCAATAGGATCATCAGTTGACTGGCTCAGACCTTTAACAAACCATGGAGCTTTAGAAGAAATGCAACAAGTTGATTCAAGCGAGCCGCACTGTCGACCATCCCACAATGTATCATCAAGATAAAACACGTAATGATAATTTGGAATCGGAGATGGTGACCCCGACTCACAATAATAATCATTGCCAACGTATGACGGAGTAGTAACACTGCTGCGATTATTGCAAGGACAATTCTCATTTGAGTTAGTGGTCTCATCTTGTCCAGCTATGTACGTCCATATATGTTGGCGTGGGTTGCTTCCATGGGTAATTGATACTCCATCAGCATATGGATCATCAATACTCAGTGTCTGTCCTTCTCTGTTCCTATTGACTCCATCAACTGATCCAAACTGATAGCCTCTGACCTGCCCACATACTGTAGTGTAGTTTATCCCAAAAGAGGAAAAGAATGTGGAGCCACATCCACTGCCAAATTCATCAAGATCTTGATCACAAATGACTCTGTTCTCGAAGGTGTATTGAAAAAGTCCATGAGGACAGGTAGCATTAGGCTTTGTCATATCAATATCAGCCACTCTTGTCCAGCCACCAGTACCATCACAGTTATTACCCTCCATATCACAATACACATTGACAATACTTCCATTACTTTGGGTAATGTTATAATAGCCAGTAGCAGTACCAGGGAGTCTCTCCAATATGTCACTGCAAGAATAATAGCTAATGCTTCTTGCCTCTTGGCATGGATCATTGGGTAAGTCCTGAGGTGGGCACATTGTGATGATTTTATAAGTCTCAGTTTTCTTCAGCTTAATAATGTTCCCATTGTTTGGAGGCAGGCAGCAGTACTGGTGATAGAGTGAAGGGTTAGTGTAGCCATTTGAACAATCAGCAATGCAGAGGTCATCTGTTGTGGCATGGGCTTCTCTTGCTTTTAGGAGGAGACCAACAGTCCAGAATATTATCACTGAGTAGTAGCTATAGCCTTGTCCTGGTGAAGACATTTTGAGTTTAGGGAAAAGACTACACAAACTCACACGATTTATGCTCACTCACCAAGCATAGCTATCTCAGGAAATGACGTTTGCGTGGGTGGTAAATCTACATTAATAACTTAACGGTTTTGTAAATTTTCTCTACAACATTAACAACAGCAGAAATAAAACATGCTCATAGTCATAATATACAGGCCCGCTGAGAGAAGACATGGGGCCCAGGGAAAGATTAAAATTAGGGGCCCCTTTGCAATAATGAAAAAAATTACAAATTAAATGACAAGAACTACCAATGCTCAAATATGACCAAAAATTGATTGACTGACTTAGGAACACTAGCAATTAAAAGCAAACTTGCAGAACAGCTAAATTTTGATTATATCATAGATCATTTTGCTAGTTTAAAAACCAGAAAGGCACATGTTTAATCATGTATTAAAAGATGACTTATTATACTTTAATTGTAATGTATATTATTATGGGGCCCCCTGAAGTGAGGGGCCCAGGGGATTTATCCCCTGCTCCCCCCCCCTCTCAGTGGGCCTGATAATATATATATATATATATATATATGATAGTTTAGTTTTATCTATTTAATTGAGTGAGCTCCAGTAAAAGGACTAAACAGCAGGAATGAGAACAAATTCTAAATGACAGCCTGGACAGGCAACAGCACAGTATATCTATGACAGTAGTACCTAGTCCTTGCCTACACAAAGCTGGGCGAGGCCAACAATAACATTACTAGCTCTAGCTTCATCAATCAATCCTTGACTAGAAAATGCTCACAGCTAAGTATCATCAGCCTAGCTGGTTGACTGGTTCAGTGTTTTAACAAACCATGGCATCTTTAATTGAGAGACTTTTTAAATTGCAGCATTGTTGGCCACTCCACAGTAGATTGTTAGGAAAGAATGTATGAACACTTGAATTACAGTTCCACTAAACTCCTGACACACAATAATAATAATCTCCAAAATAAGATAGAGTAACTTTTGTTCTGTTGAAATTACAGCGACAGTCTTGTCTCTTATTATGAATCTCCTTTTGAACAACTAGTTATGTACATGTTTATGTCAAGATTATTTTACATGAGCTTTAATGAGTAATTAATACTCCATCAACACTGGGTCCATTAATGTGTAATGACCCATAATAATTATTCAATCGTTAATTCTTGTTATTCTAAAGAAATTACATAGCTAAGCATATCTATGACAACATGACTACATCACCCACCAAATGAAATTGTCACAAATATGTCAGACTTAATCAATGTATCATGAAATAAACATCAAGAGACAAAATTGATATTAATAATTACAAAATAATAGGACACAAAGATGGAAGAAGAAATGACAGCGATAGCATGTGTACTTTACTGTCCCCCAATGCGCATGCACTAAAGCACATGGCATTCACTACAAAATCAAGCTATAGATTCAATATCAAGCTAGGGTCATTTCATCATGTTTCTAAAACATTCCCTTTTGTACAGTGTTTTAGTTTCAATTTAAATAATTACTCTATGAAAACTATTGAACAAATAACTAACAAATTAACAATATGCAAACATCCATCAGTTCTGCTAAAGCTATAGTCTCGCCGGGCCAGCCCCTTCCTTTAGCGGAAGGGGCTGAAGGAAGGGGCTGGCCCAGCGAGACTATAAAGCTATGGCAAAGAAGTGGCAATCTTTCCTTTGTATTACTCCTTCAGCAGTCTTGATCCTCTTGTGGAACTTCCTCATTTATACAAATTATTTCTTAATAAGTCGGTTCATTGGTATATAGCTATTTAACTAAGAATTTTCCTACATCCTGGTATAAGTATGGTTTTGTTATTTTCCAATGCTCATGTTGGCTTTCTTTTCCTTTATTTGGTCTGTTAGCTGATGTATGGATTGGAAGATACAAAGCTATACTGATTGGTATAGTATTGTGTTTTATATCATGGATTATAATAGGAATTGGACTGATTGTTGAAAATTACTTTTTTTCTGAAATACTAATGTTTTGTGTTTACAATTTAGCTTATATATTTCAGATCAGTGGTTTTACAAGCTTCACTGCTAACATTATTCAGTATAACATTGATCAACTTGTTGGAGCTTCAGCTAATGAACTGACTTCTGTCATATACTGGCATATACTATCTGAACCACTTGTGAGCTTGCTTTTTCACCTTCTTCAATGCTTATTTAATAGTAGTAAGTATTTTATCATGATCACTTTCATAGCATCAGGTGTATCTGTATCTCTTGTACTGGTGTCTCATTCATTCTTCAAACACAAACTGGAGAACATATCATTGATCAAGAATCCCATCAAACTCATAGTTAGAGTATTGTGTTATGCCAGGAAGCACAAGTATCCTGAGAATCGTAGTGCACTGACCTACTGGGAGGAAGAGGCTCCTTCAAGACTAGACCTGGGTAAGGATAAATATGGTGGACCATTCACAGAGGAAGAGGTAGAAGATGTGAAAACAGTATTTCGTATGCTACCATTATTCATTGGCTTCACTGCAGTTATTCTCAGTGATGACTATTATTGGTCTGCTGTTAATAGTTTTACATTACCAACTTGCTTAGCAGTAACAGGCTCTCAGTATTATTTTTGTTCAGTCATTCTAATGCTAGTTTATTTATTCTTTATCAGAATTTGTTTCTACAAGCACATTCCCAATATGCTGACTAGAATGAGTGGTGGTCTTTTCTTTGCTTTCATTGCTATTGTTTCTAAAGTGATCATATTTTTCATTGAGAGGTCTCATCCTGACATAAACAACTTTGGTAAACTGCTCTTTATTTCACAAACTATCCAAGGTCTTGCTTTTATTCTTGTGTATCCAGTATCACTGGAGTTTACAGTAGCTCAGTCTCCAGTACACATGAGAGGAGTGATGGTTGGATTGTGGTATGTTGCTTATTGGGGTCTTGGTTATATCACCATTACTATTCTCAAGTTTCCATTTGATTGTGAGAGTCAATACATATGTACCAGTTTCTATTATTATATAACAAAGAGTGTACTAGTTCTTATCATACTGATAGTGTTTGTGATACTGGCTAAACATTACAAGTATCGTGTGAGAGAGAATGAAGTTAATATTGTTCAGATAGTTGATGATCATTATCAGAGATACATAAATCAAAGGGAACAATTTATGAGTGTCATTGACAGTGACTCCTCAAGCGATTGACACTATTATTTCTACTTTTAAGGACTACAAACTGACAAATTTTATTTTGTCGTGTTAATGATGCAAATCTGATGATTTGTCTAGTGATGAGCCATTAAAGGAACTAACTTTCATGGTAGCAGTGAGCAATTTAATGTACAAATGTATCACTCCATGAACCACTTTGGAACTTATTAACTGACTTCGAAATTATGTTCTGTGTCACTAGCAAAATTTATGTTTGCATAATGAACAAATTTTACTGATTTTATTTATTATCATGTATTTTGTACTGTTAAATGGAGTACCCTATTGTCAGCCTGAATGAGATTAATGACTTGAATGGTCAGTCCAGGATCTGCTGACACATGCACATTACAGCAATAATCATTTTCATGGATTATTAGGCAGCATTAAGCACCTGCTGACCTTCTCACAACTCACACCATCCT